TAAATATATATATATATATTTCACACCATTATAGTTTTTTTCATTTTTATGTAATTTTATCTGTTTATAAATATTTTACTATAATTATATTATTTAATAAAATATTAAAAATTAAATACGTATGAGGCTTACGCCCCGTACCTCGGAACTTACGTTTCGTTAAGGCATATATAAAACGTCTCGCACGACTCTTAAAACACTATTAAAACACTGATTGTACTTATTTCATTAATACCAAATATCAAAACTATCTTTCTTCCCGTCAACATGCAGACTATATATAAATGCTGTATATATTGCAATCGGAAAAACCCTAGCTCTCTTCTGGCCGCTTCCGGGCAACTTTTTATTATTTCTAAGGTCAGAACCTTAATTAAACTGAAAATCTAAGATCTTTGAAGTTTATTTTCTTTTCCAATTCTGTTTTTTCTATTATCTGCTTAATTAGTATAGTTCAATTTGAGCTGATTGGGTTAGTGTGTGATATTATCTGCTTAATTAGAAATTCTGTGCTTCTTTTACTATATTAGAATAGACATATAGTATTTTAGATATTATCAAAGTGATCCTTTGAAAACGAGCTTGTTCAGCTTCTGCAGTTTTCTTTTATTCTTTCTTGCTATATTAAAGATAAGCTAGTGAGTATTAAAGTTAAGTCAGAATAGACATATAGTACTTGATGAAGAGAGATGCTATTTTTGTAGTATTTAGCTATTTGACATAAAGGGTAGTTGAATATCTAATTTGGTGATTTTATTGGAGATGAAATTGCTTAGTTTGTCAAGGCCTGGATTGTTTTGACGAGTACAGATGTAATTTTCGATATAAAACAGAATAGAGATTTAAGTTTCCATTTTTAATCGGTTTGACTCGAAAGGGCAGTTCAATCTCCATTTTGGTGATTATGTTGTGGATGAAATTACTTGGTTATATTTACTTAAAGAGCATTGCGGGAAGAAATAAAGTTAGTTTGATACATTTTCTACTCCATATGTTCTACTAGTTAAGTATGAGTCATTGATGCATGTATAGTGTTAAAGAAGTGTGTATGACCAGAACCAGCGTGTCTGTCATAGTTGAATAATTGCTGCTTACAATCAGTAGTCTGGTTTTTTTAATATGCCTTGGGTATTTGTAGGAATGGCTCCGAAGCAGCCAAATACAGGCCTTTCTGTGGGCCTTAACAAAGGACATGTTGTTACTAAGAAAGAGTTGGCGCCCCGCCCTTCTGATAGGAAAGGGGTAAGTCGTTCTTTTTTCATACTTGATCTCTGTCTTTTAATGTTTTGGATGTTAGACATTCTGGATATCTAACTGACCAAAAAGAAAAAGAGATTCTCCAATAACTAACTCCACGTCACTTGTAATAGTTTTGTTTCTCTTTGTCTCTTGTTTAGAAAACCAGCAAAAGAGTACATTTTGTTAGAAGCCTTATCAGGGAAGTAGCTGGTTTTGCACCTTATGAGAAGAGAATTACTGAACTTCTTAAAGTTGGAAAGGACAAACGTGCTCTTAAAGTAGCCAAGAGGAAGCTGGGCACTCACAAGAGAGCAAAGAAGAAGCGTGAGGAGATGTCTAATGCTCTCCGTAAAATGAGGTAATCGGCATCATTTTCAACTAGAATATTATACTTTAGGATTCTCGATCATTGTTTTCCTTGTTTCTCCTGCCCCTGCGTTCTCATACCCATTGTGTGTCTGACTAGGTGCTTATCTTTGTTTTTTTGTGATCCAGGGCTGCTGGAGGTGGTGAAAAGAAGAAATGAGTTGCATGTTAAGACCTCTTCATGAAATTTTAGGTCCAAAAAACTGCTTAGAAAAGATTTATTTTGGTGTCTTTTTTGAATTGAAAATTTTGATATCATTTTTATTTTTGTTTGGATGTTGAAGCACCTAACCCTGAGCTTTTTGTAATTTGTTGTCTCAGAATGAGAATGGTTGGAAATTTCTAAGGTTTAGATTTTGCAACTCATTTGTACCAGGTGAATTAAAATGTATTTTAAGCACATATTACTGATATATAGGTTCTCTAGACTCTAGAGATTCACCAATAATGGCTGGTCAAGGCAATGACAAATATCTTCTTCCCGCTATGATGAAGTCCTAAAACTATGATTTGGGGGAACCCTGAACCTGATTCAGTGAAATTGCAAAGGATTTTCTGAGCAGTACTTTTAATGGTTCTCAATGTTTGCTATAGTTTTGAAATGTTGAACCAGGTCTTATCCTTTTCTAAACTATAAATTCATATTGAAACATTTGGTAGTTCAGCTTGATATTATTTGAAGATTGTTTGCCTTTCAGCTTGATAATCTCTTTGTAATTAGGAATCAAATGCAATTGATATATAGGTAGTCTAGACTCTAGAGATTTGCCAATAATGGCTGGTTAAGGCAATGAATGTATATCTTCTTCCGCAATGATGAAGTCCTAAACTATGATTTGGGGGAATCCTGAATCTGATTCAGTGAAATTGCAAAGGATTTTCTGAGTGGCACTTAATGGTTCTCAATGTTTCCTCTAGTTTTTAAATGTTAAACCAGGCCTTATCCTTTTCTAAATGCCAGTTTCATGTTGAAATCTTTGTTTTTTCAGCTCGATATTATTTGAAATGTTCGAAGATTTTTTGCCATTCAGCTTGATAGTCTCTTTTTAATTAGGACTCAATGCCAATTGATATATAGGTTGTCTAGACTCTTGGAGAATTGCCAATAATGGCTGGTCAAGTCAATGATGTATATTTTCCCGCTATGATGAAGTCCTAAAACTATGATTCTGGGCAATCCAGAATCTGATTCAATCAAATTGCAAAGGATTTTCTGAGCGGCACTTGATGGTTCTCTGTGTTTGCTCTAATTTTGATATGTTAAACTTGGCCTTACGCCAGCTTCATGTTGAAATCTTTGGTTTTTCAGCTTGATATTATTTGAAATGTTTGAAGATAGTTTGCTGTTCAGCTTGATCGTCTCTTTTAAATTAGGACTCAAGTGCAACTGGTCCTGTTGAAATATTTATTTTCCTCATCATATATTAGAAAAGCATATATTAGAGTAGTTGATAACTCCCCTCCATCCTTGGAACAAAGAGAATAAGGGAGAACTTTTGGCCAAAATTATCCCTTATCTTTAAGGGCAGATTAGACTTTATTCTCCAAATATTATCCTGAGCACCATTGTCTTATTAATTTCTTAAACATGAGCACATATGGAATATATTGTCTCAATAATTCTTTCTGAGGGTGTCAAAGTTTATCTTGTAGTACTCATGAATTTGTCAATTTAGTAAAGCTGAAAAAATAAGATCAAGAGATGGTGTGGGATTTTACTTGACACAAAGCTGGTTTCTCTGTTTTTCTTTTTGAAATATCAATGCTAATGAGTTTGGGTTAGTTTTAACAGTTTTGTGGGTGTCTTCTGGTAATTGGATAATATATGCTCATTTTTTGCAAACCTAGAAGACAAATGGTGCTCATAATCATATTTATGGGATAAAGTAAGGCGAATCCCAGAATAGAAAGGATAATTTTGGCCAAGAACTCAATAAGAAATGCAAAATTTCAATAGACCTCCTTTGAGAAGTAAAGGATTTAAGCTATTTATGCCTCTGTAACTAAAGCCATTTCAGAGTAAGTCATCATTCCTTAATGAAAACACAGACCTTTGTAGGCAGAAATTTGCTGTAGACAAGTGGAACCAAGAAATGACTTAATTAATGAATAATATGCAATTATTTTAGTTTCCATTGATGTAAGGAATAGCAGATGCAAACTCACTGAAATCCCCCTTTAATCATATCAAAGAGCTGCTTTGATATTCGAAAGAAAATGAGAATAGCAAAACGATTTTACATGTATTAAAACCGACGACATTGGATTGGATGTATACGTCGTTAAGATTGAGCAGCTCAACATAACCAAAATAACATTGGAACAACCTTTTGTGGCAACAAAATAATACTGGAACCACCTTTTGTGGCAACATCAGAACCACGAAATGCTATTATAACAAAAAATTCTTTAACTGTTGTTAGGGCCTTTGGAGGGTAAAGACAAGGGATAGTAGGAGTATCAGTAGGCTTAAGGCCTTTCTTCCAAGTTTCTAATTATGTAAGCAAACATTGTAACTAGTCCTTCACAGTTCTTTTTTATTTTATTTTCTGGTTTAATATAGTGTAGCCATTGTCAATATCACACTAGCGGATGCCATATAAACCGAAATAACATGAGATATTCCCATATTTCTCAATTATGGTAACCTTTAGGATGGCTGAAGTTCAGCTGACTATGGCCAGCACAGATCCCTAATTTTTCCCCAAACCCGAGCCACAAATCCACGGTCCTTTTCCACAAAATAATCTACTAATTCATACTCCCCCACCAGATATAAACACCTACAAAATCCTCTTCTACTTGAGACGCCTTATATCTTTTCTAGAGGTGGCAAAATAGTTAAAAGAAAACAGTTATTTATCCATATTATCCATTAAAATATAGGTTGGAAAATAAAGTTTTTAACAACAGGTCAAATATAGATAAAAATTATATTATCCGATTAGAAAATGGATAACTCATGGATAACTAATGGGTTAACTTTTACATTTGTAAAGACTCAAATTAGGGGTTCCTCAAGTTTGGGAGATTAAAAATTCTTCCAAAAGTAATCATATTCAAAAAGTCATGGATATCCATATTATCTGCTGGATAACCCATTTTTTATCCATATTAGTTATGGGTCAAGTCGGATAATTTATCCGTTTTTAAATTACCCATTTCAACTTGCTCATATCCGATCCGACCCGCATGTTTGCCCCCCTAATCTTTCCCATTCACTGAAGCATCACCCATCCCTTTCCCTCACACTAAAAGCTCGACACTCATATTTGACAGAAAATTTCAAATGAATCTATACTATATTAAAAACATGAATACCCTTAACGAAATATGGTTCATCTTTTTTATCTTTTAAAATTTGATTTTACATTAGACAAAATTGTCATTTACTCATTTTCCTAACATTTAGGACATAAAATTAAATAAATTTTTGGATATTATATCATTCCATATTTGAACTATATAAAAGCTCCTAATATTTAGGAATTTCAAGTCAAGAAAAATTTAACTTATATAAATACATTACTTATTTCAATTTAGGAGAATTAATTATTAGCGTGTCATTACCGTTATCAATATGTTTCTTCCATAAGAAAAAGTGATTTAACTTATATAAATACATTACTTATTTCAATTTAGGAGAACTAACTATTAGCATACCATTACCGCTATCAATATGTTTCTTCCATATAGAAAAGTGATCTTTAACTTTTAAAAATTTAATCCCCTCACGTCAAATTATAGACATATAATTTATTTTATAAATATGACTATGTTTCTATCTCAAGACACAACTCGACATTTATAAAACTTAAAAATAGAAATAATGCCAACAATTTTATTTATTGAAAATCGACGGGGATTTTATTTGTCTTTGGACACATAGAATTACTTTTGAAAACTATTGATTTGGTTATCTACTATATGTCAATTTTTAAATTAAATATATATTCTGAAAGTAGAGAAATACTATTAACGTTTTAGATTAAATCTAATAAAAAGTAATAATATTTAAAGTACCTAAAAACATAAAAATTTATGGAGTAATTATGTGAAGTTAATTGCCCATAGAGTTGAAATTGGTTGACATATCCACTTTTATACATTTAAAAAACTAAATTATTCCTTCAACAAATAAATCCATGTTAAAAATTAAAATTAATACTTAATTTTTTTTCTAATATTTAGATCTATTAAACAAATTAAATTCTACCATAATTTTGATGGAATGTGATTTATGGATCATACATTTGCATTAAAAGAATTTGATAATATATATATTATAAAAATACGAAATTATAATATGAGTTGATATTAATTTTTAACCCTTCATAAATGCATTTTATGTCAACAACAATAATTATGACTCAGTCCTAACTCCGCCTCTGTGAGATCGCTTACATTGGCTGTCCCAAGCTAGCATAAAGGAGGACAATTACGGTAGGCAGCCGGCCAACATAAAACTTGCTAATTCATAATGAATTCATGTAAGATAAAATCATAATTATAATTAATAATTATGTTTTGACATAACTAAAATTTAAAACTTTGTGCACTTCTATAGGGACAAAGCTTCTTCCTTTATTGAGATTGTTGAATAAAATCGACAATCATCATTCTCACGATTTTATATTATTTTTTTGTTATCTTTTATATAACTCAAAACTTTAATATAATGCTTATGAGATTTTTTTAAAACTTTTGTTTTTTCAGACGAGGTTCGCGTACTCCTAAGACTAGTTGAAGAAATAACCTAGTACTGAGCATCTGCAATTATTCTTGCCATCCAGGGAATGGAAGAAAAAAAAGATGCAAGACGCACATTCCAGCTCCGTCTAGTACCACTTAAGTTCTCATTCAGTCACATCAAAATAGTAAACAGTTTTAATATTCAGAAGAAGAGAAAAGACAAATACTGTTAACTACATCCGTTTGAAATCTCCTATATCGCAAAGTTACAGAACTCGACGAACATTGGGTGCATACAGCATGAAGATTAGATCATCTGACCAGCTCAACATAATAGAAACCGCCTTAGCCCAGTGATACTTGTAACACCACCATTCACGCATGCAGGAGAAGATATGACTAGTTGACCTTTACAGTAAGCCCTACACTGCTCCCAGAAAAACAATACAAATGAGTCATCATTCAAGATGGACCAGGAACAGAGCCAAGGAACGGGAGGGGAAAGAGAGAACAATTCTTCCAGAGAATTCATTGATTAAATGACTGGAGCATTCTTAGAAAACCGAGTTTTTTCTAGTAATGCAAGAAAAATGATTCACACGCATTTGCTGTATATCTAGGCAGTAGTAGCACACTTTCAATTCGCAAAGTAACCATAAGTTTGTCGTGTACACATAACAAAGGAAAAAAATGAGCCTCTGAAGTGATATCCCACAAATTACTCAAAATCTTGGCCATGCTCGAAGATCATTA